CAAGCCATTTTGCCACTTTGGCTTTTACCTTTAAATTTTTTCTTAAAAGATTAGATTCTTGTCAATCCTTGTAGTGATGCAAACAACTATACTTCTACAATACATAGTGAAGTGAGATATTTTCCACTTGGGTGTTGAGTGAGGCATTTTTGATTTTAAAATCCAAGCCATATCCTCCACTTTGAGATGATGCAAATTCTCCTTTTTCATGATTGTGGGTAGTAAGTATGTTTTCCACACGGACAATGACGATGATGTCTTATCTCATAAAATTAACCAACACACTTGTGTTTTAAATTTTTAAAAGAGGAACTACGTATACCCTGATCCCCTATTGCATGAAAGGTGGTACGTAGCCACTAAAGGTTCGCAACCGCAGCGGGTGCAAAAATCATAAAAATATTTATTTTCTCACCTCCACCATCCATTTTATATACAACACATTTGTATAGCCAAAATATACAGATTTTACAAGGAGGTTCCTGCGGAGTACTGTAGATGTTTAGGGTGCTAATACCTTCCATTTGCATAACCAACCCCCTTACCTGAATCTTTCCCCCTCTTTTTTGGATATTCGCTCTTTTCCCATTCCTTTGGAAACAATAAAGCGCGTTGGCGATTTTTATTTTGATTTGTATAAAGTCTAGTCAATCCAATGGCTTAGTCTTGAACATCTCTACCGCTACAGTACTGTCAAATTTTTCCTAAACCTAGATTATCCTTTAACTTATATAGTTAGGGTAGTCTAATTCACATTATAATTTCACCCTCCAGTTACCAATGTTATTATCCTTTCCTCCCCTTTATTTCTCTTAGTTACACTATTGGCTCAATTTGTTTAGTTCTTATTTTAATTAAATAAATCATAATAAACTATTATTATTATCAAATAATTCTAAATAAAATCTACCAACATTTAATTACTCTCAACCCTCTTCTCTCAAAGTCACACACCCCTGCCTCATAAATTAATTTAATTATCACCACATAATAATTAAATAAATACACAAAATTCATAAATAATATAAATAAATAAAATAATCTAATTGGGGTGTTACATTGGGGATGCAACTCTCCTGTTGACAATGGTTGAGATGCCTAGGTGTACGAATTAAGGGTACGGCGGGAAGGGTGGTGGTGATTAAAAATAAGTGTACCCCAGGTTAGTTTTAACAGGGCTTCACCGTGGGGTCCATTGTATCGGTAAAAATTATAGGTGTGTGTAGTCTCACTGTAAGGGCAAGGAGACTTAGAGGCCTTAGTAGGTGTATACCATGTTTTTGTAGTGAGGGCTTGCCCATAGTGGTGAGAAGCTTTGTACGGTGGTATTTAAGGCTATTTAAGGGACCAACTTAAGTGAAGTGAGAGGCCCTATTGGTGGCCGATGCTGCGAGATAATAGTCGAGCAGTGATGTTAGTCATGTGTTACGGTTATAGTGAGCATGGTGCTCTTTTGGGTTGTAAAATATGTGTAAGAATTAGAGTTTATCTGTTTCCCCTTAAGGGGTGTGATATTTATAAAGCCCCGTTTGAGCCTAAGGTTTTTACCTCTTTTGTGGTCTTAATCGTCTCTCTTACTAGGGGAGGTTATTGACCACCTATATTATAGGAGTCATTGGAGACTTTTTCTACTTTTACTCCCACATCTGCAGAGGCCTTTAGGCGAGTCCCATATCTTCCTCTTAGGCAGCACAGTTGTGGGGAAAAGGCGCCCTAGTCTATATTTTTACAAATATAACACTACAAATAGGTAGTGTAAATACTTTTCTAATTGATTAATAACATTTAATAAAATTTCAAACAAGAAGTCATAGGTTTTTGAAAAAAATTTAAGAAATAAGGGAGGTTTTAAGTTACATTTATGTGTGTGCGTGTGTGCGTGAGTGCGTGCGTGTGTGTGTGTGTGTGTGTGTGTGTGTGTGTGTGTGTGTGTGTGTGTGTGTGTGTGTGTGTGTGTGTGTGTGTGTGTGTGTGTGTGTGTGTGTGTGTGTGTGTATGTGTGTATGTGTATGTGTGTGTGTGTATGATTGTCTTAGCATCTTTAGAACTTCTCTTATAACTTTAATTTAAAATGGTCACTTAAACAAGCACTATGCGTAGGATCAGGAAAGCTTTCACACTTCTGCTCATTCAACTGTATTCTTCTATTTGATAAAGGTTAAGATAACTTCTTTGATAAAATCCATTATCAGAGGTTGATGGACCAAAGATTATGGAATACTTCACTAAATGTCATTTGACATTAGATGTTGTCATAAAATAAACTACTAACATCATCCGAAGAATATTGGCAATAACACCCTCAAACACATAGATTTATAATGGATGTTGTTAAAATTATAAAAGGCTCCTCCACATGATTTATCTTCTTTGAACCCCGAGTTATCAAACCCAATGGGTCACTTTTTGGATGGGTGGGCCACACATCATGTTGATTAACCCTCTTTTTATCATACATAAACACTTTATCAACAACATCAATGAGGCATCCTCTTTGTAAAATAAAATGAAAATAAAGTTACTAAAAATAACCATGTCAGTTATAGCCATTAACCTATACATAAGTATAACTCAAATTGTATTAAATGTTTTTGCCCCGCCCATAATACTCTATCACTCATAATATAAAAGAACTATAGGAACTCAAGAAACCACCTTTAGGTGTCCCTCTCTAGATCATAAGTTAAAAGTATTCACCAGTACAAGGTTATTTGTCTAATATAATAGAAAATGTTACTCTCCAATCTCTTCAAAGATAACCACTGCACATTATCCTTTTTTCGATATATGCATGAATCAATATTTCTAATTTTTATATTTGAATTAATATGGGTTCGGGAGAACCCTATTAGCAAGGAATCTTATAGACACCCATATGTTCTTCTCAACAACCTTGATACCATAAAACTAGAAGAGACATCTAAGGTTGATGTGATATTCAAATTCGACATACAATATCAAAGCTTCTAATGAAGGCCCAACTGTTTAGGTGTATTTGGAAGGGGAGACCAAATAATTGTTTTCTAGGACCTCATACTCAAATACATTGAATTGAATCCCTACTCCCATGTCCTAAATAACATGAATGTACATATAAAAGAACTAGCCTCTAGTCCTTGAGACATCATCAAATTGGTCGTTTAGCCCTTATCACGTGACTTAAATGTGACGTCACCTTTGTCGCCATTACCAAACATACCAATATGGTATCACTAGTGTATATGTATTGAAAGTAATGAATCCCCCCACTAAAATTATCGGTACTTTTAGTCACCTAGATGATCCTGAATGTCTTGGGAAAAAATAGGATAAAACAAAATCAGTATCATTATACTCATCGAAATCATAGCTACTAGAACTATGATAGTAACTCCCTAACTTCCATAATTCTATAAGGTTATAGTCAAATCTCTCATCAAGTCTCCTTGAACTCTCTACATAATTTTCCCATGTCTTAGAAATTTCAACATGTGTCATAGGTTGAACTATATGGATAGAAATTCAAGGGTCCTTATTATGAGCATGCAAATATATCAATCATGTTGATTGTTTGGTCATTCCTAAGAGATTTTCATAATCACATAACATCTAATGTGTCTTTTATCCCAAAGCTCAATTGTCACTCCTATCTTAGGGGAGGCATCCTTACCACATCATGTCACACTTAAGAAGATAATACGCAATCCCGACATCACTTATACAAGCCTTGTGTTTGAGGGATAGTGAATCGAGATGTCCAATCGAAATCATATCTCATATAAACATTATAATAGATGTATTGTGATGCAAGATGTCTAACATTAATCACATCTTCCCTCAATGCTTCTTTCTTGAGAGACTATGATTTAGGATGTCTAGCCTCAATCACACCTCTCTTCCAAACTTCGTGCTTGAGGAACTGTGGGCTGAAATAACTCCAGTTATGCATCAAAGAGCCCAACCTACCAACTTTTTCGTCTGTTATTAACACGAAACAAAATTGTGTGCAAAAAGGTAGTGTCATCTGGTGAGCAATTGACTCTGCTCAACTCAATCTTCATAGACATATATCATAGAAGAACATGGTGAGCCACATGTTATGGAAATCATATGAAGTCATCCTAAGTCTCAAAGGTTAAATAAACTTTTTATCATGGATTATGACTCACTTTGTTCGCCTTATTATCTAGGAATATGTTGCTTACATTGTATCATTGTGAGTGGGATTGAAAGTCGAGGCATTTATGATACATGTTATTTAATCATATTAAAACAAATTAAATCAAACCACGATAGGATATTACATTTCATGAACAATTAACATTTTTTTGGTATACTTCTTAATATATATACACTAATTACTAGTTTCATTTCTTAAACAATAGTTAAATTTTGAAGATAGTACATATATATAAAAGTTTATATAAAAAAATACACTAAATTAAAATATTCATTTTAAAAATAAGATACATAAAATATTTTTAATTTTTGAAGTATCACATGCAATAATCATTTTTAGGCCTCAAAACACATTGGACCGGCCCAACACACACTAACACACACACTTTACCCATAAAATTTCATATAAATTTATAATTTGCATTCACTTCAACCCTAGTAGCAAGGATCATCGCCGTTTTTCCTAATGGAGGCTACCTCCTTCTCCCTTCGACCTATATTCATTGGTATGAGTATCTTTTACGATAGATCGATCATTCTTTCACTTGTATACTTATTTATTAAATTGATTATAGTTGTATGTTAGTTCATAACATATAATGCAAAAATCCAGTTCATTTTTTTTTGTTAGTTCTTTTGTCAATATTTCCCAATATCCTTTTTTTATTATTTAACCTTATGATGTTTTTCTCCATCAGATCCATAAGCCAGAAAAAAATTGGTTTGCAGAATACCATTCCAAACATGAACCAATGGAATTCATTAAACTTATATTATATTTCGACGATATGTTCTGTAATGTTCAACCTAGATCTCTACCGACCATAATTTCCTTGATTAAGATGAGTGTAAGGGTCCACAATAAAAAGGTAATAATTATTATTTATTATGATTTTAAAACTAATTTCATATGATTTTTAGAATATCTTTAAACATTTTATTTTAACATGCATATTGGATCCATATTATATTTTGTATGTGCTAGAAACATTATATCATGAATTTATAAAACTATGTTGCTTTTAAATTTTGTATCTATATTATCATCTAAACTTAATTTCTTTTCTTACCACAATATTATCTCTCTGTACTAAATTTATTTAGAGAAATCAAATTTGTTTAATATAATTGTAACAAATTTTTGTTGAATTTTTCTTTGTTGTTTGTATTTCTTGTGTAGGGACTATTGGTATTAGATGAAATATGAACTTAAGTTTTAAGATTGCTACTTATAGATTTATCTTTACGTGTAACACATATATTGGTTAATTAATAAATCGAAATGGATTCATACAATTGGTATATTTGTCAACCAATGGATATATTCCTTCCATCACATCATCATCAATGTAATCACTAATTTTGATCTTCTAGCAAAATATCAAATGATTTATATTTTTTATCTTATCCTGAACAAAATTTATCAAAATTATGACATCTTTATTTTATGATCTTGATCAGATTCGATGATCGTGTCAAATGTGATTGATCAAACATCATTATCTTATCCTTTTAAAGTAGTGTTAATTAGAACCATTTTCATTCTACTTTTTCATTGTTATTTCATTCTTCATAAATGTGCTTTTATTTCAAAATGTTACAGTCATTTTCACCTGCTCTCAACGAATTCAAAGTAGCAGCAATAATCCCCCGCAGGAAGCACAACACCATCAACTGCGTTACACAGTTCTACCCGCGACCACCCATCCAATCATCATGGCATGTTTGTAAGCAATATGGTATCTTTAGAAGTATTATGTCCAATCACCATTTGTACCCATTGGTGCAACCTTGAACAAGCATTATGACATTGAGTCCACCACCACCTTCAGCTTAGCATCACTAGTCATCAGTCGTTGCGATATGTTTGGCAATAATAATAATTTATTGTGTGGAGTAATGTATTCTAGCATCGTGAAGTGGTTTTTATGAATTAACTTATGTAGAATCAAAATTATTTAACCAATCTGACTATTTAAAACAAAATTTCTTTCAAAAGACTTTATATGTGAGACATACAATGATGGAGAATAGATCAATCTAATGTGAAAAATTTTGTTGTGTTTTCCATTTAAAATTAATTCACCTTAACACATGTTTATATTTTCTATTACAACTTCTATACTTTACTAGATCTTTACTTAACCTTAAGGTGTGCATATTGATATTTTGTTTTACTTGGTATCATTACCATGTATCAGAGTGATGGTAGTGGAAGACTTTGTCTTTCTTTGTTTTCATTTTAGTTCTTTTTCAAATTTTGTATTTTCAATGTTAATTCTTATATATAAGGATAATGTTTGGTTTCAAATGCTTAAAACTAGGCACTCCTGTGAAATTTGAAATGATAAAATAAGTTTAGTTTTACTTTTCCTATTTATGCAACAAATATATTTAGCAGTATTATGGACAACCACCATTTGTATCCATTGGACACGCCTCCAATAGGAATTGTGTGACATTGAGTCTTCCTCCAACTTTAGCTGACCATCACCGGTCTCTGTCTGTTGCAGTATGTGACAATAATATTCATAACTATTTTAAATAAATTTCCGATTAAAAGTTGGAATTCAATTTAAATATATTGAAAGTTAGTAGATATGTTTAAATTTATCCATGTTGCAGAAAGTCATATATTCTAGTCTTACAAAGAAGTGTTTATGAATTAATTTATGTTAAAACAAAATGTTTTAATTAATCTAACTCTTTTAAACAAAATTTCTTCTCAAAAACTTTGTACTTGAGTTATACAATGATGGAGAATTAATCAATCTAATGTGAAGTTCGAGATCATATTTACCATTTAAAATGAACTCACCTTACCATAAGTTTACATTTTCTATTGAAACTACTATATTTTATAATATCTTTACTTAACCTTAAGCTATACATGCTAATATTTTATTTCACTTTGTGTCATTACCCATTATCATAATGATGGTAGTGGAAGACACTGTCTTTCTTTGTTTTAATTTTTATTCTTTATTAAATCATGAGTTTTATTAATTCTAAAATTGATGGGGAATATTTGGTTTCCCATGCATAAAACTTGTGGCTCATTGAAATTATAGCATAATTTTAATTTTAGATGTTGTCTTTCTTTGATTGATTTTTATTCTCCGTCGAATTTTGTGTTTTCAATGTTAATTCTTAAATTGAAGGAGAATGTTAGGTTTTCCCTATCTAAAACTTTCATGTGAAATTGAAATTGATAGCATAATTTTAGTTATACTTTTCTGGGATAAATACTTTCTTTGACAATCATTATTTGTCTTCAACAAATTAACATGAATCATTCTGGTTGATTTATTCTAATTCATAGTTTAAGATAATATAGTTTCAAAATGTCTTTAATTGGTTAAAAGTTTTCTAAATAAAGTTGATCTTATTGAAAAAATATTTCAATAAAATGTAAGGGAAACTTTTCCTTGAGATATGATTATCGCTGTCGATCGTCCTCTGTTAGTTAAAATATACAAACCAAAAATTATCATTTTGCTTCTTTATATTTTTCTGAGGTAAGATGCAGCCATTATGTATCATTTTCAGAGTCTCATTTATATGTGTTAGGTTTATTATCCTCCTCCTAGTGTCCTTTTAATTGATTTACATTGGTGTCTATTGTTTGTAGAGTCAATAGTAAAATTGATGAAAGTCATCACTTTTAAGAACTTAGTAACTCAAAATTGAGTTTGGTTCTTCTCACATTCTAATAGGAGAGAGGAAGGACAAATGTAGTAAATGAAGAGAAATTTAGAGTATTTTTTTATAAAGAAGAAATCTATCTTAGCTATCTATCTATCAATTTATATATGTATAATTAAAAATATCACATGAAACAATTGTCCTTCCTTTGTGATTTGGTTTTCTTTCCAACACTCATAAACGATGAACCTTCACTGAATAGATCATTGTCTCCTTATCAGACATATAAATGTTGAACCTTGGTAGAAGAATCCTTGTTGCCCTATTAATTGTATAAATAGTGAATCTTCAATAGAGGATCATTGTCACCTAATTAGGCATATAAATATTAGACTTTCAAAAACTATCGCTATGTCATTCCAAAATAACGATAATCTCTGACAACAACGTCATTTTTATTGCAATGCAGTTAGCAAGTGCAGTTTTATCGTCTCCATAGGTACTTGTTGTGTTTTAAACACCATCCAATAGTTTTTATTACTTTAAGCTTACTTTATCATATGGTTGATTGTTTGTGGATACTAAAGTGTAAAATAGCAAAAAATAAAATGAACTTTCGGTGTTTAACAATGAGAAAACTAGGTGCAGTTAGATTTCATTAACTTGTTCTCATGTCTTGTCTTTGACCTGTAATATGAACAAAGAATTTCATCATAGATGTTGTTCAACTTCTTTCTTATAGGGCTTGATCATAAAACTAAGATCAGTAAGCATAGCTAATTTTATCTACAAAGCAATAGAAACTAACAAATCATGCGATTAAATATGAAATTTAAAAGAGAGAGAGAGAGAGAGAGATGTACACTCAAATTATAGTGGTCCAACACGCTCGTCCTTGCTTTTTTCTTAATCCTCTCTAATGGTTGCCTATTAAAAATTTGTTGGTCTTTCACTATGATTTGCAAAAATATTACAAGAGTTCGTCCAATCACTATTCCGTAAATAAATGTTGAAAATAAAATTGATTCTAATCAAGATCTTGAGTTGTACATAACTCCATGAACTAAACTTTATGCAAAATCCTTACTCAATATTTCTTCTTAAATCTTCCAGTCCTAACAACCTACTCCTAAGTCCCCGCCTGCGGAAATTTAACACAATTCTGGTGGTATCTTGAGCATTGGTCTATCCAAAGATCAAAATAACTCCGACCATGTATTTATAATTCCATACAATACTACCAAGGTCAACCTGAAGAGAAGAGTCTTCTTCTTTTCCACTAAAAGTGTCACAACCAATCACAACATGACACACTCTTGCAAGCTCTAAAATCTTAAAGAAATCTTCAAATAAACGTTAAATCCAAAATGAAAATCCTAAATCAATCAAGAATCTTTCAAGATAAGATTAGGATCCATACAACAATGGAAAAAGAATGAGATAGAAGATGAAAGAAATCAATTGCATGTTGTTTAAGAAAGATTCAAAATATTTTGAAAATGTGAGAACAAGTGGTTTGTAAGTTTTCAAATCATCAATGAAAGAATGTGTTTTCTAAAATTATAATAGGTTTAGAGATGAAAATGATTTATATGTGCTGGGGGTGAAGCACAAAAATTTGTGAAAAATTCGTGTTTGATTCGAGTCAAGTGAATTTGATGATTTGAGTCAAGTTGGCAAAGTAATGAGGAAAAAGTTATACACTTAAATATAGACCCATCTTTTTGTGATTTGAGTCAAGGCTAATGCATGATTATACTTACATTTCTTAGTTACGATTTGACTCAAACTTGGCCGAGGCTGGAGAAAGGTCTGTGATTCCACTCGGATAACATGTGATTTGAACCACAGTACGCATGATTCGAGTCAAGTGTAATTAATGATTCAACTCATAAGCTTACATAAAACATTGATTCTTCCTCGCCATGTTTGATTGGACTCAAGGGATTAAGTGATTCAAATCACACATCCAAAATGTCAAAAACACTCAGATTTTCAAAGTTATTTTGGGATTCTACTTTTGGCAAGACTATAATCAATCTCAAATATGGTTCTTGATCCCACAAAAATTAAATAATTGACTTAAATCTAAATGATTATATTCAAACGCAAATTTTTTGATTTATGCATGCTTAAAAAAACAAATACAAAACTCGATCCCTAAAGATGCATAATTGAAGATGAGGCTAAGATATGAAACTAAATTCAAAGTAAATCCTAAGCTACAAGCAACAAAACCACATAGAGATCTCCTCCTTAATGTATCATGGACATTCAAATTTCCAAGTCGCCTTAACTCCCTAAGCGAGCCGATCAATTTCGCTTAGTGTAAAAAAATATCCCTTCACTTTGAAGTAATTTAGCCCCGATGTCATGAACCTCTAAGTACACCTATGGTCTTAACTTAGTGTGGTTAGTTTCTTAACCTTGAAGTTACTTGGCCGTGAAGTATTCTTTTTCCTCCTTTGCTTTCTAAGTGTTGTTAGACAATGACAATGTATCTAGAGGGGATGAATAGATACCCCTTTAGAAAAGTCCTGAAAATTCTGGTTTTAAAAAAGTTATTTTAACGAAGAGTTTACGCTGAAGCTTTTAAAAACAAGTCTTCTATACGAACAATCATTTGAAACTAGGATATGTAACTATATAATAAATTGAAAATTGAATGAATATTATAAACTGAATTAATTTCACTTTAATCAAGTAACACGTTATCAATAGTTTGTAGAAACTTACTAGAAATTCTATTTCCAATGGAAATATTCAAAAGAACAAGCAAAATCAATTTGTCGAGCACTTGGTGTGCAATTGAATTTTCAGAATTTTCCCTTAAGTTGTGTTGATACACAAAAGCACTTATAAACAAAAGTGATTATAAGCAATATCAACACCTTATTTAAAATAAAAAACAGTCTGGAAAATTTCTTACAATTCAATTGGTAACACAATGCTATTAGACAAATTGATTGATGAATATCAAAGTAAGTAAAAGAGATAATAAAAGAGACACGAGTATTTGTTTTCACAGCTCCCCACTTTCATCCTTGTGTGTGGGTACGTCTGTGCCTACTTCCAACGAAATTAGGATAATTCTTACTGTGTAAAAAGTTGATACAGTAGAAGTGTTCAAGAGAAACTCTATAAACCCTA